GTCGGCTGCGGGCGGGTTCTTCCGGGGAAGACCAATCGAGCCCGAGGTCTTCCACGGCCTTAGATAGGATGCGGACGATCTCTGAGTCCATGCTTGAGCCCACGCTCGTGCCCGCCAATGTCGATGGCGCGGGGTTGAAGGACGAGCCCGGCCAGTCGTCGGATGCAGCATCACAGGAAAGGCTGTCATCCTTGTCATCGTCATCCCCTGACGCGCCAAACGAGACGAGCCCCATCGCTCCGCTGGAGGGGTGCTGGTCCACCTGTGTGAACTGGACTGGCGGCGGGGAGTCTTCGGGTGGTGGTGAAGCACGCGGGGATTGGCCCGGCGTGACATCACTGCAAACCGCGTGCTCCGGCGGCCTCTGTGAGCGGCGTTTTTTCTTACGCGGCTCGACTAGAGGAGATGGCAGCACGGAAGAGGTGGGCTCTTTCGTGGTGAAAACGGCGAAGCGAGCGCGCAGCTCGGTGAGGCCCAGGGCGTCACACTCGGGACATCCGCCTCGAGTAAGGGCAGCCTCTGCGTGGTCCGGTCCCAAGCAGCGGGCGCAAATGATGTGACGATCCCCGTCCTGAAGAGGGCCTCGACACGAGGCGCAGGAAGGCATTTGAAACAACGCCTTGTTAAATTTGCTCTTTTAGAAAAGTGTCGCGGGGGCGAACACTGAAAGCTTTTGAAAAAGGATATAGATGATGCGCGCCGGATGGCTTAGCAGAAGGGCGATCGAAGGCGGCTGAAGGCGCCGGCGTCCTCGAAGCAGTCCTGCTGTAGGCTTGTCGACGGCGGCGGCGAAAAGACTCCAACAAATCCGGAGGATCCAGCGAAGAGAAGGTTCTTTGCTGAAGGAGATTAAATCTAAAGAACTCAGACGACGGGGCGCCCAATATATAGCCCTTGGCCACGCCCATCTTGGCGGGCTCTGACGCGCGTGGGTGCGAAGCACGCTCATTGGAAGCGGGTTCAGAGTCGCCCCGTCATTGGTTCGTGCAAGTTGCCGCAGCACAGCCAATGACCGAGCTGCCTCGCTCATTGCTGTATGCTGTGCAGCTGCAATGCGTTTTACATAAAGACTTCAATATTTCTCGAGAAAAGGAGTTTTCCCATAGCGTAAGCTTACGCAATAGGAGGAACCTCTCGAAAGGGAAGTTAAATTAGAGGATTTGGGTGATGTTACCAAAGATGGAGACTCTTAAATCCAAAAAATCTATTATCATAGATCTATTAGGAATTAGGGCACAAGGAGCATTGGTTCATTGATTCTCAGTTTTTAAATCTTTCACAAATAGATGCCCCTTTTAAGTTATTTTTTAGTCTTGAGAGAAATAATGTTCGGAGTCTATTGTTCACTGCTTATGCTCTGAAGATGGCAGGAGCTAGCAAAACCCTTTCAAAATAAGAAAGAGCAGTACGGTTCTATGCTGGACTGTATAGCAGTGATGATGATTTGTCTGCTCACTTCTACGAAGGTCTACCTATTGCTTCAGAGAGCTCAAAAGCAGAGCTGAAGAGGCCAGTGTGTGAGCAGGAGCTACTCAGTGCTCTGAAAGAGATGGAGGGGGGTAGATGGACTCCCTGTGGAGTTTTACAGAGTGTTTTGGGCAATGACCTGTTGGCTGAGGGGTTGTTGCCTTTAAGCTGCAGAAGAGCGATTATTACCTAAAAAAGGTAGTCTACAAGATATAAAGACCTGGAGACCAGTGAACTTGCACAGTGAGCTGTGCTCTGACCTGAAAATATTCTCTAATTCTCTGGCTAAAGACCTATTGCATTCCGGGAATATCTATTTTAGATACCTTATACAGGATACTGGATATTTTAAATGTTTGCAATCTTTCTAGTGTTGATTTGGGTCTTGTTGCTATCGATCAAGAAAAAGCGTTTGACAGAGTCGAGCACAGATATCTGTGGAAAACTTTAGATGATAGATTTTGAATTGGATTTTATTAATATGATCAAAGTTATGAACCAGGACATTGAAAGTGTTTTGAAAATCAATGGTGATGTGAGTGCCCATTTTAAGGTTTTCAGGGGTATTAAACAGGGTTGTGCACTATCGGGAATGTTATATTCTCTGGCTATTGAGCCTTTGCTGAATAAATTGCAATAAAAATGTAAGGTTTTTCTTTGCTCCATGGTGATATACGCTATCAGGTTTCAGCTTATGCTGACGGTATTATAATCATGGTTAATGGGCAGCGAGATATTAACCAAATGGAGGATATTATAAAATATTTTGGAACTATCTCAGCCGCTAAAGTAAATTGGGATAAGAGTGAGGCATTGGTTTTAGGAAAATGGGACCCGGGGCCTACCAGTTTTACCTGATAGAATATCCTGGAAAAAGGGAGTTTTAGAATATTTGGTAGTTTATTTTGGAGATACAATTACACAGCAAAAAAACTAGGAGGGAAGAGTAGAGATAATGGTAGGTAGACTGGCTAAATGAAAGTGAATTCATTCACAATTATATTTTAGGGGAAGAGTGTTGATAATGAACAACTTGGTAGCTTCGATACTCTGGCATAAGCTGTTTTGTGTAGATCCACCCATAGGGTTATCATCTCAGCTGCAAAGTATTTTTGTGGACTTCTTTTGGGATCGATTACACAAAGTGTATTTTTTCTACCTAAGGATGAGGGTGGACAAGGTGCATTTACCAAGCAGAATGGCAACATTTCCTCTACAATTCATTCAAAGATTTTTAACACGACCTGCTGATTTGGTGTGGAGGAACGTGACCAAGGTCATTCTACAAAGTGTGGAGGGACTTGGACTTGATGTTAGTCTCTTTTTGGATTACAGTAAATTGTACCTGAATGGCGTATCTCTTTTTTATTGTGGACCCTTTCAAATATGGGGACTCTTCACTTTCGAGATAATGGACAATTCAGACTCCTTGTTTTGGCTTTTGGAGGAGCCCCTTGTCAAGATAGATATAACAAATGAGGTGTCTGGCCTCACTCAGAAGTTGTTTGCCTCTAGAACTGTGAACCTGAGGCAAATTGTCAGTGTAGCGGGCTCTGACTTAAGTGATGTTGCAGCAGTAGCCCTTTTGCTGGCGCACAGGTCAATTCGCCAGACAGAAACAATAGTAGAAATGTGGAGGAAGAAGCTCACAGATGAGGAAATCACACTACTTATAACCTTTGGAAAAGGCTTTGAGGTTCCTGATACAGATGATCCTTTTCCGAAAATTAGGATTACTCCGGTCTTGAAGGGCATGTCAAGTCCTCTGCTAGACCTTCATGAGCTGCAAGACTTGGATTTGGATACAGTAGAGGGGAAAGTTTGATATGTTGTATATGTTGCGTTGAAGTTTTAATAGAGTTTGCAGTTAATGCATTTATTTCTGTTATCAATCAAAGTGTTAATGATCAGTGTGTATTTTGTGGTTTAAGGGAAACAGTTTTTCATTGTTTTTTAGAATGTGAATTACTTTTTGTTTTGTTGAGTCAAGTGTTTTTAAAATGTAAAGAAATGTTTAAGCATAATGCTTTTATTTTTGGGGCAGGTTATAGCCAAGAGCAAAGAGTAAAATGGCAGTTGGATTGAGTGGCATTATTCCTTTGAGCTACTGTGTTGTCCAGCAGCGATTTTGAAAGAAATTATGGTTAAAGATGCCATCTTGTCTCCAGTTGGCAATAATTGGGTTGTTTATTTAGCTGTGATCTCTTTGTATTACACATCTCTCTCTCTCTCTCTCTCTCTCTCTCTCTCTCTCTCTCTCTCTCTCTCTCTCTCTCTCTCTCTCTCTCTCTCTCTCTCTCTCTCTCTCTCTCTCTCTCTCTCTCTCTCTCTCTCTCTCTGACTTCTTGTTCTCCATCACTCATGAATTAATGTTATCTCTTATGAAAACACTTTCACTGTTTGAAATATCTGGTCACAGCACGCACACACATTATTATTCTAAACCAGGACAGGAGGGATGTCCCGTCAGTAATACAGTAGAAAGGATGTCATGGTTGCTTAGCAACAGCATTTTTGGAAGCTGAGTCCTATGCAGCTCTGTTACTATGCACCATCACACTTCAGTCCACCTTTACTGTAGGGATTCATGGCAACAATAGATTTTTAATATTGATTATTGGCACATTGCGAAAACATGATATAGTCTTGTCATATCAACTAATATACAGTTTTTTTTTTATTCACTTTGGTACTAAGTAAGGTGTACATTTTCAAAATGTACACAGCTAGTCATTCTTTCAAAACCTGATCTCATGCCTTCATTCAGTTATACACATGTTCAGTCCACATAATACTACGTTTAAATGTGCACCAATAATGTGATTATTTCAAAAAATCAGAGTAAGGTCTTCATTGCAGTTTACATGCAATTTTCATTATTCTGATTATTTGCTAATAAGTATCGTTAAACCACACTCAGATAGGCATACAGCATGCATGTTACCTGCCATTATTTTAATCTACTCACATCAAATTCAAAACACATTTTTACGGACATACTGGATATTATTCGGCACCGTAATGAACATCGCAATGCCGGGTTTGCCTACGCTGTGGTCGTGTTCTTCACGCCATCTGGGTGAAGATACAGAGCAGAGACTGCGCACTGTGCGTAGCGAGTTGTGTTGACAGAGTTGAGCGATTTGGTGTAGAGAAAACTTTAGATTAATGTCACGGAGTTCATTCATGAAGTTGTGTGAAGTAATTATGAAACAAATTTAATTTCAGCTGTAAACCTGCTTTACAGTGTCATGTTACAAAGTTCATCAATTATGAAAATGTACTTAATTCAACTATAAAGCAGCTCTACAACAGACAAAGGTGTCCTTATTCAGCTCAAGTCAGTTCCGTGTTTGTTCGTATCAGTTCAAAAACAAGCAAGTTTACTGTGCTTTTATATTTATACTTCCTTTCTAATGAGAACCAACAAGTTTGAAACTTACAGCACTTCGCATCCAATCACATCTCAGTTTATTTTGAAATGCTGATATGATTTTTTAGGTTTCATGTATGTGCTTATTCATTTCTCTCAGGATCCCCGGCAGACTGAATGACAGAAGGACACCATTAGGAGAGCTGAACTGGATTTTCACAGCTATTACTGACACTATTGCATGGAACGTCCTGCCGAGAGGTTTGTTCTGATAAAAATCCAGCTATTTAACAATCTCTGAAGATTTAGTTTCATGTCAATCAACAGCACAGACCTTTCAGGGTCTCCCACAACGGTTACAAATTATTTTTGATCATTCAACGTCTGTTAAATGACTTGCTCAGTCAGAACCCAGATTTGCCTGTTTACTTTGCTTGTTCCACAAAATAACAAAAAATGGCGGATATGTTGCATATGCACTTAACATGGTGGCGTGACGTAAATATGCACATAGTGTGGTGGCATTTACAGTATGCGGATGAATCTGGTTAAAGGACGGGCTTTTCTGATCCCACTACCCCACTAATATCCTTTTTGCTACAAAACCCATAACATTTAAAAGATTATAATAAAAAATCTTCAAAAGATTGAGTGTAAAAACATGTATAGATTGCTGCCCTCTATTAAAATCCATAACTATGCAATATAACATAAGGAAATCACAGATTATACAGTGCCCTCCACAATTATTGGCACCCCTGTTTAAGATGTGGTCGAGGACTTCTAAAAATTCTCCCTTTTTTTTAAACAACATATAACCCAAATGCAAAAAAAGAGAAAAATCCAACCTTTTAAGTACATTACTTTGGTGTTAAAAAAAAAATAATCACACATTTAGAAAAAAAAAAAAACCTTGAAATCATGTGTCCCACAATTATTGGCACCCCTAACGATTACGCTGAAAAATTTAATTGATTTTTTTTTAAATATATTTTTCTGTAGTTGCTAAAGTTGGTCAGGGTATCTAGGAACTTTTAATTAGTAATTCATGACTTCCTGTTTCCCTGGGGTATAAATATGACGTGACACAGAGGCCTAATTCTCTTACCCATTTGTCAACATGGCAAAGACAAGAGAACACACCATTCAAGTAAGGCAGATGTGTGTCGACCCTTATAAGTCAGGCAATGGCTACAAGAAAATAGCCACTCGCCTTAACTTGCCCGTATCTACAGTCAGAGGTATCATTAAGAAGTTTAAAACAACTGGAACAGTGACAAACAAGGCTGGAAGAGGTCCCAAGTTTATCTTGCCACAACACACAGTGAGGAGGATGGTAAGAGAAGTAAAAAAAAGTCCTAAGCTCACTGTCACAGAATTGCATCAAAGAGTGGCATCTTGGGGTCACAAAGTCTCCAAAACAACCATCAGACGCTCTCTACATGCCAACAAGCTGTTTGGGAGGCATGCAGGGAAAAAGCCTTTTCTCACTAACACTCACAAACGTAAACGTCTGGAGTTTGCTAAGCGGCACTGGGACTTCAACTGGGATCGTGTGCTTTGAGACTAAGATTGAGCTTTTTGGCAACAAACACTCTAAGTGGGTCTGGCGTAAAACAAAAGATGAGTATGCCGAAAAGCACCTCATGCCCACCGTGAAGTATGGTGGAGGATCTGTGATGCTGTGGGCCTGTTTCTCTTCCAAAGGCCCTGGGAACCTTGTTAGGGTGCATGGCATTATGAACGCTTTGAAATACCAGGACATTTTAAATAAAAACCTGATGGCCTCTGCCAGAAAGCTGAAGATGGGTCGTCATTGGATCTTTCAGCAGGATAATGATCCAAAACATGTGGCAAAATCTACACAAAAATGGTTCACCAGTCACAAACTCAAGGTCCTCCCATGGCCATCTCAGTCCCCAGACCTCAACCCAATCGAAAACCTGTGGGGCGAGCTGAAGAAGAGAGTGCATAAGAGAGGACCCAGGACACTGGATGATCTAGAAAGATTGTGCAAAGAAGAATGGTCAAAGAGCCCTCTCTCTGTGTTCTTCAATCTTGTGAAATGTTATAGGAGGAGATTTAAGTGCTGTCTTGTTGGCAAAAGGGGGTTGTACAAAGTATTAACATCAGGGGTGCCAATAATTGTGGGACACATGATTTCAAGGTTTTTGTTTTTCTAAATGTGTGATTTTTTTTTTTACCACCAAAGTAATGTACTTAAATAAAAGGTTGGATTTTTCTCTTTTTTTGCATTTGGGTTATATGTTGTTTTAAAAAAAAAGGAGAATTTTTAGAAGTCCTCGACCACATCTTAAACGGGTGCCAATAATTGTGGAGGGCACTGTACATGCTGATATTCAGAACAACAGCACATTTGCAAAGTATGATACTGATTTTAACAGTTAAAGAGATTAAAAAAATAATAATTTTAGATTAAGGCTTGGTGATATAGCTCTTGATATTTTTCTGTATTTTAATGTTATTCAATATGTATCTAAATGTTTTTGCAAAATAAAAAAAAGTTTTTTTTAACCCCATGAAAAAGACATGATCTGGATAGAACAGATGTTGTTACAAATTACATATATGTTGTTTACTGCAAAATCACCACTAGTTAAAAAAAATCTAGACAATGACTGCTTGCAAGTTTTTATTAAACTAACACAAAATGAATCTTTGAAATGATTTGTACACGGTGCTTAAAGTAGTTGAATTGCTTGAATTTGACTTTTTGAAATTTAGGTTCTGGAAAACCCTTGAAAACAGCCATTTTGTATAATGAAGTACTTGAAAAGTGCTTGAATTATTGAAAGACAATATATGGGAAATTTTATTTTTAATTTTATTGATAAAACAATCTTTTCACACAAAATTAACGCTGCAGTCCGTCTGATATAGATATCGAGGCATTTTGCATGGCTATGAGTGTGATATTGCTCATATAAATATCCAAGTATATGATATTCTTCAAGTCAATCATATATTAATGGGAGAAAAAAATCAGTTTGAATGAGGAAAGAGATATCTTTGTCATAGTATTCTTTCAATGGTTAAAGTTACCGCAGTCATTGCATGTGCTGCACATTTTGTTTTATTAGTTTATATTTAATTATATATTTGCCTTTTTTAGATTTTAAAAGATAGTAAAGAAATCTCTGATTGTAGTCCTTGAAAAAAAAAAGAAAAAAAAAGTAGTGCTTACAGTCCTTGAAAGTCCTGAAATTTACTTACTGTCTTATAAGATGAACTTTGAACATGTTACACAATCGCGATATTCACATTATTCTTAATTGCATATTGTCGGCAAATAAATTGCGATAATGTCACTTATCACCATTATTAGCTTACAAAAAGTTAGATGATTAAGATCACTATATAATATTTTAATATCTAATTTGCTGGGTTTAATAATTTGCTGGGTTTAATTTTGTTCCTCTGTATTCTGTAGCAAATTCTGAAAAGGCATTTGTAAGCTATAATTCATGCTGTGTACTGTATCTTAACTTGAGAAGCCAGAACCCCATTTACATTTAATAGAAAACATAATGAACCACTTATAAAAATGTGGGTACATTTGCAACGCTAATAACCATGGAAATGCGTCATTACAGTCTGTAAATATCTCTTAACAACACAATGCAATCACTAGTAAGACTTCCTGTTAATAAAGTATCTGGGAAGAATCTATTCTATATTAACAATGCATTAAATCACATTACACATTAATAAACCACAATAAATAAAACAAATTAAGTGATGTCTCATGTCTCAAGTCAAGTGAATTACGGGTCATTGGACAGGCGTCCAATCACAACTGACTTGAAAAGGGGAAGTATAGCCAATGACATTCGAGGTTATTAAAACAGTAAGTCCCGCCCCTCGACTGCAAAAAATAAAACTTTTCGAGCCATAGATATCCATAATAAAGGCTAGATGTCTCGTCCGCGCTGCTGGCCAATGGAGGTCGACGTCCGCACCTGGCGGCCATCTTGTCACAGGCAGCTCGCTCACTCGTAACATTGTGTTTTATTGGTGCATGTACTTTTTAAATAACCATAACTTGCTCAATTTTCTACCGATTTTAAAACGGTTTGGTTTGTTATAAACGTCAGAGATGTAGTTATGACACTGCATACTTATGAATAATAAGTGTATAAATAAATAATCATCCAGAATTATAGCCATGTTAATAACGTTTGTAAGAAACCAAACCGTTTGTAAATCCGTCAAGATTTCAACGAGATAAGAGTATTTGTGTTCGTGCTGATCACTCATCTTACATCAGGTACCACAGAGCCCGCCAGAAAGCTTGCCTGTGACAAGATGGCCGCCGGTGATGACGGTAGAGACTCCGCCATAAGACATCTAGCCTTTATTATGGATATCTATGGTTCGAGCGAGCAAAAGCAGCAGGCGAGAGCAGATTCAAGCGCGAGAGCGTGGGGAATGATCATATGTGCGCGCAATGGCTTGTATTGCGTGCAGAGGAGATGTCATGCGGGCGCGCGGTTTTTGAATGAGCTCGCGAGTTCCCGTTTCCTCGCGTGTAGATCTGTTATCCTCTCGCGGAAGTCATTTATGATGCGCCAACCGAGCGCGCCAGCATCAGTTGTGCGCTCGGTTATTATTGGCATTGATTTGCCGCCATAATCTTCCATGTATTGATCAGTCCTAGTTTATACACAATTTGGCAAGTTCATTTTCTAAATTTATATTTGCTTCTTAATACAAAATAGTTCCAAAAGCCAAAGCAGGTTCAGCCGTTGCATGTCCCAGAGCTACTCACAGACTGCCAGCAGTAAACACAGACAATAGAAGTGAGATAAATGGTGAAGCATCCTGGTGCTGTTATACTGAATGTCATCACTTTTAACAGTGCTTGCTTGGCCAGTCAGACTACAGGACCAAAACTAACTGTTGTATAAAGAAGTATAGTGATGCTTGTTTGTGCATTCACAAGCTCTGTAAATGCTTTGCTGGCAGTTTGTACAGTATTCTTCATTAAAGGACAAGATATGTATGTAAATTCTCAAACACTAGCAGCACAGAACACAAGCTTTGAAGATGTGCTTCTGTCTCTTTCCTGAGGAGGAACAAAGCATGATTATGTGGGTATATCCTAACCTCTCACAGTCTTTAATTATTTTTTGTGCATCAAAGTTGCATGATGAAAATCCCCAGGCTTTAATCTGCCATGCACACACATCATAATCATTGGATGTCATTAAGACTGAGCATTTCACACAACAGAATTTAGGATTTTAATCAAGTTACTATTCATCACATAAAACTTTTGAATAAGCATTCAAAATCTTTCTCTCTCTTTCTTTATAGATCTCTTTCAGAAATTATTTCGTCAGGATCTTTTGGTGGCCAGTCTATTTCGTAATTTCCTATTGGCTGAGAGAATTATGAGGTCATATAACTGTACACCAGTCAGCAGCCCCAGGTTGCCACCTACATACATGCACGCTATGTGGTAAGTGTATGGATGTGAACACACATACATCATTATTTTCCCTAACATGTGCAACCTTTGTTCAGACAGGACAAAAATCTGATTGTTTTGGTGTATCTGACTCATATATTTAGTTGTTCATAGTCTGACCAATATAAAGGACAAGAAATCAATATTTGAATATGGTTTGAAATCCAGTTTACATTGGATTTTTGGAAATTCTTTTGAGTCTGAATGTTCAGATCAGATTTCAGGTGCTATATGTATTTACAATAATGTAGACATTATTATATGCACAATGATGTCTACGTTCACTCACTCTTTGTTTATTTCAGTCAAAGAATATGCATGAATGAGTCATACAATATTGCCTTTAGAGTCGTATAATTTGTCATACAACTCATTAGTTCAGCACCACGTTAAGATGTTGTGATGGACATGAGCACAGACAAAAATGTCAAGTTGTCAATAGTTTACACAATAATAGGTACTCTTATATGTTGTAGAAGACAGACTCTTGGCATCATGTTAAGTCAGATATTAAAATAAAAAAGTGCCATGCTTTCTCAGTACTTAGTTCAAAATATTATTTTTCTAAGTATCTGTTTTGTTTTTAAAATGTCACTTGTGTTTAGGATTTACAGATTAAATGTAGCCTAATGGACCTGATACTGTCTATTGTGTCATTAATATGAATCAAACCACAATACTTATAAGATAAAAACTCAGAATCAATTTATATGTTCTTTATTATGGACGATACTTAACTGCTTCAAGGCCTTATGTCATTGTTTTAATTAAAGTAATATTTCAATGACATATAAAGTAATGTTTCATATGTTTATATGTTTCTCGATATTTAATAAAAATCTAAATAAATAAATATTTAAATTATATTTTTAATTAAAGTTTTGTATTCAGTAGCACATTATTTTGCTGTGGCAAAATTCTTATCGTGAATCATGAAATTTCACTGGTAACGTTATTGACTACTGGTAACGGTATTGAGGTAACCATGATTTCAACTAAAGTCACAACCTCTCCGTAACAGTAACATTCTGTTTTATTATATTTCTACTTGAAGTCAAATCGATGCGCCAGGTTTTAAACAACATCCCACGGAGAAAGAGAGCTTATCTTTTATTCCCACAGTGAACGGCACTACTCATTTATTTACATTGGTATTTTACTCATAGCTCTCTCCCTCTGAATTTTACATGAACTATATTATGAATCTTCATTCCCCGGCTCTCTCCCTCTGTTTTCTATCATCAGTATCATGCTGTTGGCTAAACCTGCATTGTGTAATCCTCAACAGTGTATGATGGAATAGAAACAGTGCTTTGTTCTTCACAGTAGTTGAAGCTTGAATCTCATAACATGCCATTAGCAAGAGTAATAAATTTCAGTTTCATAATGCAGCATCATAGCTCTTTAGTTACACTGGGCAGAAAGTTCTTCTGAGCTTATGAAACAGGAGATGAGATATGGAGAGAGGCGGAAACAGAGGGAACATTTGGTAAAGAAGGAAAGAGTTACGGGAACATTTTAGAGGATATATGGTGCCTTCCGCTATTAGGAGGAGACATGATAAAGCAGGGAAGGGAGTAAAGGAGCAATACAGGAAACAGACAGAGTTAATGTAAATGATCGTTGTGATAGGATCAGTGCAGTGTCCATCATTATTATTAGGGCTTTCAATTCAACATGTTAATTTAGTACAACAAATGGGATAATTTATCAGCATATTACGCAAGTAATTTATATTATTAATAATCAATATACACAATAATAATATAGAGGTCTCATATGAGACCTTTTTTTTCATGGGACGACATATTGAAGCAGCAGTGGGAAGGGAAGTATAGCATATACAGCTTCTTTGAAAAAGTTAGAACACAAAATAAATATTAATAAGAGGGAAAAGCAGATCAATCTGCAAAACTTGCAAGATAAAATAGAGCAGTGGAGTGAGGATATTAAAGCCTGAAGAAAGGCCCTATGCTGTTGCCTGTTGTCATGATCCACTATTGAAGCTGGCCTAATGATAGTGGGGTCACTCTCTTTGTATATTTACATTCCACTGGGAAAAATCCTGGTGATTTAGAGACTAGCAAAGCATATTATAGTCATAGCTGTAGTTCTGGCTCTTCAGTGGACAACACTTTTGATGTGTTATGTAATGTCATGAATTAAATATAGCCAAAGTGTTGCGGGTTCTGTGATCAAAGCAATTCTCTCAGCCTATGTGGCAAAGGAAAATACAGCAATATAAAAAAAAAAAAGCAATGTTAAACCTCAGTGTGCGATGGAGGTCTGAAAGTTCAGTGCTGCTTCTGTATGTAAAGTGTCAAGAGATTAGTTCTTATGTAATTACTTAACATGCAGCCTTTGAGAAGTGCAGTGAAGATTACATGCAGATACTATAAAGCAGTGCTTCTCAACTTGTGCTGCAGTAAGTGCAACTAACCGTATAATTATAGTATAGCGAGATAAATAGGCTAATTAGTTTTTAAAAAGGAAGTAAAAACACTTCCAATACAGTATCTTTTGACGTCAAAAGAAATGTGTCCAATCAAAGTCTACTGTATTTTGGTGCAGATCCATCTGTCACTAGATGGCTAGCCAAATTAGGCAGATCCCAACATGGATAATTATGTAACTTCACCCCGTCCTCAAAAACCATGAAGAAATCTGCTCAAGGCAGTGGCGTGCACAGACCTCCGCGGGGGCAGAGTCGAAATTGTGTTCCGGGGCGGGGGAAATCACGTTCCGCGGGGCTCCGCGATGCGACCGAAAAGGACACTTTCATGATTAAAGGAGCAGGAGCTCAAAACAAACCCACCCAATCGACAATGCACGCCACTGGCTCAAGGTTATATTAAATACATTGTTGGTACTGTGTTGGGTTGCCCAATGTAAAATTAGGGCCCCGTTGCAAAACAATTTGAGAACCAAATTTCTTATTCATTTACAGGAAAAGTTTATACCAATTTAATTTTTAGTTTCTGTGTTTACAGTTGTGTACAGAATGGTGATTGAATTTTCATCTGTGGGTGAACTAACCCTTTAAGTGTAGAAGTTAAATAATCTTTCTCAAAGATTTCAAATGGGTAAATTTACTGGCTCCTCTCTCCCTTAATAATGAGTGTGTTAAAAAATGTGCCAGTGCATCTTTTCATGTGATCAGAGCCTAGACTCTCACAGCAAGAAATGTGATCGTGGGATTGACTAGTGTGGCATCTTTGTGTGTGTGTGTGTGTGTGTGTGTGTGTGTGTGTCCAGGCAAGCATGGGACCTTGCGGTGGACATCTGCCTCTCCCAGCTTCCCACCATCATCGAGGAGGGCACAGCCTTCAGGGTGAGCATGACTTATACTGGCTCTGAGTTAAGATCAGACAGAGAAAGGGCTGTTTACCTGATCAGTAATTCAGTGTCTCTTACATCTATTGTTCTTTTTCCTCGTATTAGCACTTTAGTCCTACTTATGATGAATTAGTTGTACAATCTCTAATCATACTCAAAGTGAATTGTATATTCCCCATTGTTAGTCATTGAATTTAATCTGGTCACACCACCCCTCTGAGTGCAAAATTTTTCTGAATGCTGTTCAGTTTTCTATTAGTACCATGCGTTTTTATTGTCTGTTGTTATTTTTTTTCTAAATGTTTAAAAAATATGCTATACAGAAATGGAATATTAAGTTAACTTCAACCACATAAAAAGAAGCTGATGTTCAGCTAAATGTTTCATTGGCTCTCCCACATTAAGATCTTGTCTATCTAAGTAAAATTATTATAGTATTATTATAATATTTTTCAACAGACCAAGACAGAAATTAGGATGTCATATTCAAACCTTCATTTCTCTCATGGACACTTGCTAATTTTTAAGCCATGGCTCTGATGGTTTTATTTACTTCCCTTTTCCACCTATTCTTGTTTTGTGCTCAGTTTTACTGAATATTAGGTGCAGTAACCTGTTGTTTTGGATATACCTTCTGCTGTTACAGCTTAATTTCCCTTCTGAGATTCCCTTCTAAAGTGTTTTCCAAATGATTGACTCTTGTGACTTTCAGAGATGTGGGAGTTAGTGTCTGTTTTGTATAATGGTTGCAGTAAGGTTGAGTTCTCAGCCTGATGTAATTTGTGTTTAGTGCAACAGATGCCGTTTCTGGCAATCATATTGCTGACAAAAATAACACACATTCACCCTTGTCTTTATTGTTACTTTTGGGATTCAATCATTTTATATATGCTTGTAATTGTCTGTGTGTGTTTGTGCATCTGTGTAAATTAGAGAGTTGCTAATGTCCTGTTATTTCATCTTGAAAGTGTGTGGTAGAACTGACAATTTACAGTCAATCCAAAGCTGTTGTGAATCAGACATCCCCTTTATCCCCTTTATAGCTAAGCTATATAACATGCACATCATTTTCCAGTTAAGGTCCCTATTCTGGTTAAGTCATTATTATGAAAAAGGCATTTGCATGCTGGAATATTCCTGTATAATCAGCATAATCCACTAAACTAAAACTATTTTTTTTCTGTGTTATGCTCTTTTGAATATATTGGAGATATGTTTATTATGATTAATTTCTATTTTAAACTGTAATTTCATCCAATTACCAATTCTCATGTATGTTCTTAATACACAGTTTAATGAATTGCAAAATGTAGTTCCTGAGAAATGTAACACAGTAAAATGTTAGTAAATGTAAAAACAGCAATAAATAAATAAATCAATAAATCAAAATCCAAAGACCTGTCTGCCTAACTCACATTCACACAGAAAGTGAAAAGACTTGAGATGGGCAAGGTGAGTAAATGAGTGATGGGAGTGATTTTTTTTCTGTATCACAATAGAGTATGTTTGTTTATCCACAGCATAGTCCATTCTTCGCTGAGCAGCTGACAGCCTTTCAGGTGTGGCTGACAATGGGTGTGGAGAACAGAAACCCACCGGAGCAGCTGCCTATTGTCCTGCAGGTAACTTCCAACAAAAACTGTCTCAATAGCTCAATAGTTTCAACATCTAGGGAACTGCCTACCTAGACAGCATTTTTATTTAACATTGATCATTTTATTGACATGTCTGTTCCAAAAGATTGGCAGCAACATCATTCTGCCTCCTAAGAAACCTTATTTTATTTTCATGTGGGCCATCTAAAGCATAAACTATTGTATGTGAATCATAAACATAATTCCTGTAAAATAGTAGCTCTAGCTCTGTAACCAGCGAAATTTAAAAGCCAATATTTTACAGCAGAATGATATCATAGCCGAACATTTCAGCGTAAACGTAATCATTTAAAAATAGCTTTGGAGTTATATTCATTGTAAATGATATTAATTATAATGGAATTATATTCAAAGTGCTTCACAGATAATCTGAATTTAAAATATTTCTTATGCTAATAGTAGTGGATAGAAAAAAGTATCTTAATACAAAGAAAATATTTCCAGATAATATTTAGTTAAATTTGCTTTGGCTTTAGCCAGTTATTTAATTTAGAAAACAGCTATTTATATTTATTCTTATGATGCCTAATATTTTTCCCATACAGTATAAGTGTGTATTTCTGTATGTAAAACTATAGCTGTTTTTATAATTTAGGAAGGGAATCGTATTTTCTGCAAGATGATTATTTAATTTGTAAGTCCTTAGCATCAAACAGTTTAAAAATCCACTGATCAATGAACAGCACACTCTGTCTCTTTCTCATGCACGCTCTCTCTCTCTCCCACATAAAGTCATTCAAGCACACAAAAACTGTGCCTTTTTCAATAAAAGTTTTTTCTGCTAAAACACCACATGACGTTTTTCAGTTCCTCATATTATTTGTTATTTTATTAATTTTAACATTGCTTCAGCGTGAGAGTGTCTCCACTCCACTGCCATATTTCCCTTTCACCTGTTAACTACAATAAGTTGTCAGGGGCAGGGAAAGGTAGAATAAAGAAGTGATAATGGACCAATTACAAAAAAGAATCTCAAGTTTCACAGAACAGCACTGGATACAGTTAATGGGGAAGGTATCACGACAGTAGATTAAGGACTTCTGAAGCAGCAAAACAAGTGGGTATATCGAGAGTACCGGTATACATAAATAGTGATCCGCAGAAATCATTGTATGCAAACAGGGAAAAAGTAAGCATATGGCGTATTCGTGTTTATGGCACCAACTACACCACTGATGCTAAACAACTTTGTGTTGCGTGCAAAATTGTTGACTATATACAGCATTTTAAATCTATCGCTTGCAAGATTCAGTGGTTGCCTCAGAAGGCAGCTCCGGGGCTCCAGTAATTAAAATGGCCATGACACAATAATAGGATTTGCAAAAATAATTCAATCTAATTGCCACTTGCAACAAAGTGCAACATTTTTTTTTTAATTAGTCTTGAACAATATGTTTGTGTTGTAATTAAAGGCAGGCTATTCTAATAAAAACAACATACAGTACAAATACAGCATGAAAAATGGTATTAGTTTTTTTTAAAGCATAGTTCAAATGAAGTTGATTTGACTGTAAGGGAGAAATTTGTTTGGGAGTAAAACTGTAAGGTTGGTAAAAATTACAAAGTTTGATACATCTTCATGTGATTAGTCCAAGTACTGCAATGGATTCTGAAAAATTCACATCCACAAAACTGAATACATTGATGATAATGTGAAGAAAGAAAGAAATAAAGCGATATTGACTACAGAGACAGCACCATATGTGAATGAGTACAAAATACACAAAATGTCCCATGATTCCTATTTTAGGATCACTTTTGGATTGATGTCATCTTGTCAGATACAATGTGCATGGTTGAGATTTGATTTGTTTGTACAGCACAAACCTCATGACACTCAGGGTTAGTGTAACACACATTATCGTACTCTGTTTAAACATGCAACTCGACTTGCACATTTAGAATACAAATTAAATCCTGGTTGAAATATATCTGGCTATCCCACGCAGTTTTTTAAAATACTATTTCTTATTAAAACCCTCTCTCCTGTTGTATTTAAGAACATACCCACACCATATATTTTACATTGTATAAAGTCACACTTAAAAGTCAGACTTTTAAATATACCTGTTTTGTATAATTCCTTGAGTATTATATTATTCAAATGTTAAAATATTCATATACACCACAAAATTTATTCTGATTGGGTTTAATTGTGAATGTAAACTTTGTATTGTCTCGTATGGTAACCAACATAAAAAGAGTGTTCAAGGTATAGTTCACCCAATTTTTTTTTTTTTTTTTTTTTCATCATTTCTCATCTCAAACCTGTGGAAGATATTTTGAAAAACATGTTTTTGGCTATACAAGTCAGTGGGTTCAAATTTGGTTTGGTCTTCTTTTTCCATACATTTTTATATGTAACTTATGCTTCTCTATTATCCTTGTTATCCTTTGTCGCTTTTCATAAAAGCATCTGCTAAATGCAAAAATGTAATGTAAATGTGACTTAAGTGTTCAAATACTCTAAAATCTTGCTGTGTATGTTCCTTTAGTTCAGACAGTAGAGCATGGTACTAGCATTGCCAACATTATGAGTTTGATTCCCTGGGGATGCATAAAACTGATAAAATATGAACTGTAATGTAAATGCTTCCTGATCACATTTATCGTTTCCTGCTGACCATCTCTTGTATTGAGTAAAAAAGTTTGTCTCATACTTCTGTGTTTCACTTTAAGAGGTCTGGATTCTTCACAGATGGGCTCAGATTTCCACACTTATATTAAACTCCGCAGCCAGTCACGCTTTTGCACACACACACCACCACAAGTGCTGACTAATCTTCCAGTTGGCTAGAATCAGTAAAAAAAAAACAGACCTCCCTCATATTCTTCACATCTTTCTATTCTTTCATCTCTCCTCTTCCTTCCTTTCTTCCTTCCGTCCATAGGCCTCAGGGTATTAAGGAACGCCCTGTAATGGCCAAGGTGCACGCTGATAATTTTCACAGTCCATGATTTGACGTGACCCTGCAGTCTATTAATACCTTGATGGCAGGGTGGCGTATTGTTTTGGCAGGAGATTTCGGGCGTTTCAGAGTTTGTGTGTTTTTGTGTGGGCATTGAGGTGGGCAGTCCTTCTGTTGCGCTCCTTACACAGCACGCTCTGTCTCTGGGCAGGCCTGTATCCGGACCCCCTCACCATGCTAAGAGTGTGTGCCACAACTAGATGCTTTAAATACATACCACGTATACAGGGTTTTAAAATGCTGGCATAGGAATATGCTAACTAGAACTGTTATCTAAAACTAAAATGTATGCTTCTCTTGATCTCAGTTCTTTTAATCTAAAGGTGTATGCTTAAATGCTTAATTACTTTTGAAAACTAAAATAAATTTTGCCAACCTATGATTTTCTTTTAAACAAAACTAATATTTTAAAGGGGTCAGATGATGCTATTTTAAAAGTTCATTATTTTTGTTTATTGGCTGTAATAATATGGGTTAACATGCTTTAATGTTCACATACTGTACATAATTGCATTATTACATTATTCCAAGTCAGTCTGAAACACACTGACAGAGTTCTGGTTTCTACAAAGCCCCTACTTCCGAAAAGTGCTCTGATTGGCCAAACACCCCAACCATGTATCAGAAATGTAACGGCTGAGTTTAATTACGAGCTTCAGTTCCCAAGGTTTCCAAAGCAATAGTAAACACAAAGATATGTTGTCGGTTTTACTGTATCAGTTCGATCTCAAGTCAAATTCTGGAAATGAGGATCATCAAGCAGATTGATTGGAACCAATTTTGCAACCACAACTTGAGAAGAAGGTTTATATTTTAACTCTCTTACAGATCTTAACCACTGATTCCTAATTTCATCCGTTTTTGGAAGGCCAAACAAAGTGGTTTTGCTTTCGCACCGAAACACAGCGTCACCACAATATGGCGACAACACTACAATTCACTGAAGCCTGGCCTTTCTTTGTGTGTGCCTTTGGTCGTGTATTATGCTAATATTTCTTATTGTGACGTAGACATTTGTAGATGTGATATCTTGAATTTGATTTAGGCAGATCTGGAGCAGTGTTCCCTTTTGTGGGAGACTGAGTTTTGTAACTTTGAAGACAAGCACCCATCATACATGTGAAGTCATTTAGTACTCTTTTAAAGGTGTCTAGACAGTCATACATCATTGTATCCCAACCTTTCACATTCATCATTATTTCCCAACCTTGTCTTATGTACAGTACCCCTACATCCGTATAAGTAAGGTTAGCATACACCTTCATCAACCAGAAAATGGTGTTCCTTGTATATCATATTATATTAATATAATTTAGAATGGTCAGTAATATTATTAAGTAGATTTAAACAAAAAGGAAAAGTAAGTAATTTCCTTCCCCATTAATGAGACATTTTAGCTTGTAAGTCTTTCACAAGTTGAGGTCCTGGTGCGTGACATCATATCCTGTTTACCATATTCGTAATTATTCATGACTGAAACTTATTTTGGCCACCCCTTTTATCAATAATACAGACACATATTGAAGTGTTAATGAATCACCACCCTAACCACAGATGTTCACACACACAGGTGGGCAGTGATTAGCTTGTGCCAGCCCACAGGGAGTGTGTGAGAGCCTAAGCACCTGGTCAAATTATTATATTAGTTTCCATTGTGCATGGGAATGTATGTCTTCCTGCTTTTGTGTATGTGTGGGTGTGAGACATTTAGGTTATTTCTGTTGGTATGTGGTATAATAAATATATCTGTTTGCTCTCTTTCATTGTATTTCATCCATGGCCCTGCTGTAGAGTTAAACACTGACACACTGCTGTCCACTCCTCACTGAAACCACTAGCTGTGGAACAGAGTAGAACATCAGATTCATTTTCTCCCATCTGGTTTCTCTTAGGTCCTCTTGAGTCAGGTACACAGACTGAGAGCACTAGATTTGCTGGGGAGATTTCTGGATCTGGGCCCTTGGGCCGTCAGTTTGGTGAGATGGCAGATAACACACCTCTAACATTTATTTTTATCTTAATTTTACTTTAAAGCTTACATAAACTAAACTACTACTTATGTAACTGTATTTAAGAAACCTTTAGACAATACATATGTCAGTCAATTTGCATACACCTCCAACCCTAATCAAACACACCTAAACAAGATAATCAATGTCTTTAGGATTACTAGAAAGCTACGGCCAGGTGAGTTTTTATCAGGGTTGGAGCACAACTCTGCCGGATAGTGGCCGTCTAGGACTGAAGCTGCCCATCCCTGCCTTATGTAGAATTTGGATGTTAATATAGTTATGTAGCGGCCAGGGTTTTCTGGAATTCACATACACAATCAAACAATGATATTCTGAATACAAGATACCTGTGAAAGAAAGAAATCTAAATAAAGCAATCAAGTTTTTCAAAGAATGACCTTGAATCACGTCATCCTCTAATCTCTCTCTCTCTCTCTCTCTCTCTCTCTCTCTCTCTCTCTCTCTCTCTCTCTCTCTCTCTCTCTCTCTCACACACTCTGTCTTTTTGCTCTCTGCAGGCTCTTTCAGTGGGGATTTTTCCATACGTCTTGAAACTGTTGCAGAGTTCAGCGAGAGAGCTCAGGCCTCTTTTGGTCTTCATCTGGGCAAAGATCTTAGCTGTAGATAGTGTATGTAAAACTCTTCATCCCTTGCAATTCAGCAATTGCTTTAACCAAAATTCCACATAGTGTACATTTTCTAAACAATTAACATTCAGATACTAATGACCAGCTAAAAACCTTTTATAATCGAAAATATCTAACGTGATACTCCAATCTGATTTTTTTTAAAAACCCGTAAAATTGTGGTAAACATAATATTGCTTGTTTCACAGTAGACCTATTAATTTTCATTTTATTCAAAATTAAATAGAATATAATTGTCAGATGGGTTATTGAAAATAAAGGCTCTGACAGTTACCAAACGTTGTTGAATATTGTAAAACAAAAATAAACATTTAAATCACATTTTGATATATGCAAATATCTGCATATGTAATAAAATCTTATAATTTGCATATTTGAAAAGTATAAATATGTAAAGTTAGAATAATTTTCTTGTTTATTTTAATGACAAAATTTGATTAAGAAAAGGAAAAAAAATTAATTTGTAAACTTAATTGTAGTACAAACAACTGAATGTTTAAATGTTTCCACAGCAAATTGATTTCTATTTTAGACCGTATTCTATAATGCTATTTTATAAAGAAGTTCTCTGTTTATTGGCTTATACAGTGTTATTGATATTTATCTCTTGCATTTTTCCTGATGCTCTAAATTTTTTAGACTTTATTATGTTTTTTGTTTTTTTTATCTAAGAGTTGATAGATCGATCACGTTTTATGTGCATTACTGATTGATCAATATGATTTAGAGATCAGACACTCCCGGTTTAGACAGTCCTAGTTTAACTCATGTCAGCTCAGCATTAAGTCATTGTTCACCAAAAAAAGACCAAAAATGAATAGAAACAGATGAAAATGCTCTTCTTTAAGATCTCAGAAATGCGTCCCATTTGTACATTTGAATATATTTGTACAACAGAAACATCAGACACATTCGAATTTGTTCCTTGTTTTCGTTTGTGGAAAAACTCATCTATCATCCAAACAAACTCTATTAATAAATCAGACTTAAAGTCAGAGTAAATTGCTATTAGAATCCCATTTTACTTTCATAATTAGTCTCTTGGAAAGTGAAAAGTGAGCATCCCTTACAAAAATGCAGCCAAACCAAATATGAATTTGCTTGATATCCAAGTAGCTATTTGGCTGTTGGTTAACATTTAGTCAGTAGGACATTTCAGAGGAATGATAAGTAACTACAAATTTTCTTTGGAATAACATGCTGTGATGAATTGTTCACTAGAAAGTAAATACATTTTTCTGATTTTACTGATTTATAAGTGCTACACTGATTTAAAAAAAATAAAATAATAAAATTATTTTTTCTTAAGTATCATGATTTTCTTTTTTAATGCACATTCATGGTCTAGTGAAGGATTAATCTGTGCATGTTATTTCAAAAGATTTTTAATCTAAATTATTGTTATATAACTTTAATAACATTCATAATGTATTTTTGTAAATGTATTTTGGAGTGTGGCACTGGAAGGGCAGTGGAAGTGAAAGCGGTTTGCCATCTGTCTCTGACAGCAGTGGTTAAGACACCTGCAGAGATAGCTGATCATTCATGCACATCCCTCACAGAGACTGCAGCAAAGCACACTCCAAAGCTGCTAATCAGGCTATTTTTTTTTTTTAAAAGAAAGAAAAGCAGAACGTATTTTACTTATAAATTGAAAAACCCCATAATAAAAACCCATAGGAAAATCTCGACAGAACCAGTGGCACGTTATTATTCTGGATTTTGACGTCATCCCTGCACCACTCTACAGGGATAGGCGGTTTTGCTGTGGTACCATACTGTATGTTTTTAAACTTTTTTAAACGATGCTGCCAACGCCATAGTTGCTGCAAACGATGCTGCCAACTAAAATCTTACTGACCCTAAACCTTTACTGTTCAGATACAGTAGGCTATATACAGAACTGTTTATATTGTACAGAGTGATTAGTATGTGTCATCGGTCAGTTCACTGAAGCACATGGCACTTAACAAACTTACCAGATGAAACAGAGCACAAGCAGTCGATAGTAAAACTTGCCCTTTCCGCCTTGCCCACACTATCCTCCAACACACATTCTGTTTGAGATGGGACAAATAGCTTTTCTCTCTGTTTCTGGTCATTCCAAGGTCTGTTATTGTGTTATTGGTTTATCAGTGAAGTGTCTCACGTGCTGCAGTTAAATTTTTTTGTAAGTGTTTTATTCAGAGAAAACTCAGATGTAAGAAGTTTGTATCAGGCAGCAAAATTGGTAGAAACAGTTGTCAGCTGTCAGTATGGTGTTTGTTTCATTTTTGTCACGCCTTCAATTCCTTCTCTTTTACACTCGCCTACTCTCCCTCCTGCTTTTCTCTCCCTCTTTCTTTTTTCTGTAGTCATGCCAAGCTGATCTTGTAAAAGACAATGGGCACAAGTACTTCCTGTCGGTGCTGGCTGACCCGTACATGCCCGTAAGTATCATGCAGATGGTACTGAATCAATTTTCACTTTGTTCAAAACAATATCTGTTTTGTTAACTTTATCTTCTGTGATATTATTCAGGCTGAGCATCGAACTATGGCTGTCTTTATCCTCGCTGTCATTGTCAACAACTACAACACAGGACAGGTCTCTATCTATCATCTATCCATCTATCAATCTATCCATCTATCCATCTATCCATCTATCCATCTATCCATCTATCTATCTATCTATCTATCTATCTATCTATCTATCTATCTATCTATCTATCTATCTATCTATCTATCTATCTATCTGTCTGTCTATCTATCTATTTATCTGGCTGGCTGGCTGGCTATCTCGTCTGTCTGTCTAAGATCTATAGTAAAATTACTGTAATAGGGTTACATTTAAAATGCAATTTATTCCTATGATGGCACATCTGACACAGTCTTCAATGTCACATGATTTTAATATGCTGTTTTGTTGCTCAAGAAACATTTCTTATTATCAATTTCAAAAAGCTGTACTGCTTAATATTTTTGTGTATACCATTTCTTTCTTTTTTTTTAGGATTCTTTGTAAATGGACCCCAAACCTTTGAACGATAGTGTATACTACTGTTCATAAGTTTGGGGTCAGTACGTTTTTTTGTTATGTTTTTTAAAGACATTAATATATTTATTCAGCAAGAATGCATTAAATTGAATGCATAAAACTTTTTTCAACATTGATAATAAATGTTTCCTGATCAGCAGATCATTGTACATATATACAGAAATCATTCTATTATGCTGATTTGATGCTCAGGTAACATTTCTTATCATTATTAATATCAATGTTGAAAACAGTTGTGGTGCTTGTGATACTTTTTTCAGGATTCTTTGATGAATAGAAAGTTCAATGAAGAGCATTTATTTCTTAAAAACTTTAAGTAAAAAAACTTTTCTAACATTATAAATGTCTTCATTGTCAATTTTGATCAATTTAATTTCATTGTAAATTTTGATCAATTTAATGCATCTTTGGTGAATAATTTCTCTCTCTCTCTCTCTCTCTCTCTCTCTCTCTCTCTCTCTCTCTCTCTCTCTCTCTCTCTCTCTCTCTCTCTCTCTCTCTCTCTCTCTCTCTCTCTCTCTCTCTCTCTCTCTCTCTCTCTTTTTTGAAATCTTACCACAAATGTTTGAAAACAAATATTTTAAATTGTAATAATATTTCACAATATTACTGTTTTTTACTGTATTTTGATTAAATAAATGCAGCCTTGGTGAACATAAGAGCTTTCTTTCAAAAACATATTTTTTTAATGTTTCCGAACTTTAATGGAATTAGACCCAATCATTTACTCTCAGAATTATACAGTGTAATATTTGTTTTAAATATATTTGTTTTAAAAATGTTTTGTTTGTCCCTGATGATTCATTGACCTCTCTGTCCATCAGGAGGCATGTCTGCAGGGTAACCTGATTGCGATCTGTCTGGAGCAGCTCAACGACCCTCACCCTCTCCTGAGGCAGTGGGTGGCAATCTGTCTGGGCAGAATCTGGCAGAACTTTGATTCTGCACGCTGGTGTGGAGTTAGAGATAGTGCCCATGAGAAGCTCTACAGTCTCCTGTCTGATCCCATACCAGAGGTTCTGAAAGTTGGCCAGACTAATATTTTACTACTATTAGACAATCTAGTAGTAGATTTTCTAGTAAATATATTAGGGTTGTAACAAAATATCATGTCACAATATATCGCAATACAAAAATGTATCAATATGTATCGTGGATAGTGACAATATTTATTGTGTATAGTTCACCCAAAATGAAAATTTCTGTGTGAGAAAAAAATCAAGTTTTCAGATTTTTAGTGTCAGTACTACATTAAACTACTATGCAATGTTGAATATAATGTATAATAATGCAATGGGGGAATATTTGTGAGTCCTGATAATGCCAAATGTCTTATGTTACCAGTAAAAAGTGGCCTATGTTATTTTAAACATATCTAGTCAGTGACAGAGTGCAAGCATATTAGTCTAAAATAATTCTGTATTTTCAGCTTCAGAATCATGAGTATTTTTATTCTGGTGTCACTATTGTCCTGTGCGTTGAGTTACCAGCACCAAGTCCAAGCCTATTCATTTAAACACCCAATGCAATACCAAATTTAGCATTTTAATCACCAGTACATTTTCTGTTAACCTTTTATCATACAGTATCTCTTGGAATATCGCAATAATATCGTATTGGGAGTTCAGTATCGTGATATGTATCGAAACGTGACATGAGGGTATCGTTGCACCCCTAATATATGTAGTTTACCTTTACAGTGCCCTGCAAATTCAGATCCTTAACTAGGACCATTACTCTGCTATAATGCATTACAAACCTTACATAGATTTCTTGGTTTCTCTGTTTTTCTGTTATTTTCAGCCCAGGTCTACTCCTGTCCAAAATATGCATCTTTAAATATGCTCAAAAACAGAGTTCTACCTTGTTACTATAGAAGTACCACATTATAAGCACCATAACCCTAACCATGGCTGTTGTGTGGTTCATGAATGTTTTCTGTTGTCTCCTTGGCAGGTGCGGTGTGCAGCTGTGTTTGCGTTGGGTACGTTTGTGGGGAATTCTGCTGAGAGAACAGATCATTCTACCACCATTGATCATAATGTTGCCATGATGCTAGCACAACTCATTAATGATGGAAGTCCCATCGTGAGGAAGGCAAGTTTATTGGAATTTCATTACGGGCATTTTTCATCAGCATCAGATTCATTATCATTTTCTTAAAGGAATAGTTCACTTTGAAATAAATTTTTGGTATGTTTTAGCTTACCTCAAGGGCATCCAAGATGTAGGTGTCTTTGTTTCCGCAGTAGTTTCAATTTTGATATTTTTAGGTCAAACCGTTCTTGTCTGTCAGTAATGCAGGTCTATGGTCACTTCCTCAAAGAGCATGCACAGAGAAGTCCAAATTAAACATGATTTAATTACTCGTAAATGTAAGTACACATTGATGGCCTAAGACACGAAACGAGCGGTTTGTGTGAGAAAACGAACAGTATTTATATCGTTTTTACCTCTTGTAAACACAGCCACGTCCAAGTGATCTGAGGCCTTATTATTTTTTTTCACATTCTGCAATCTCAACTAATCAAATGTGTTTCTGTTTTAAGCCACATGTTCCTGTTATTAGTTGTTGTTTTTTGCCTGTTTTGTTGAAAGGGATAGTTCACCTAAAAATGAAAGCTTGTCTTCATTTACTCACCCTCATATTGTTCCAAACCCATAAGAATAACAATCATCTTCAAACAACAAAAATAAGATATGTTTGATGAAAGCTGAGACATTTCGTCCATTCATTTAATGTCCAGGCAACCAAAACTTTGATGCTTCAGAATGTTAAGACATTGTAAACGTGTAATCCATATGAATCAAGAGGTTTAATCCAAGTCTTCTGTAGAGACATAATCGCTTTATATAAAGTGATTTATTTTAGGCTTTTTATTTACATATAAACATTGCATACAAGCATACAGATTCCCTGTATTGACTGGATTAGCAGTGTTGATTTATGTTTACTTTTGTATTGCCGTAGTTAGTTTGAAATACTTTTGGAAAGCTAACTGTCCAACTACCTAACTAATGATTTTTACAATGTAAATTAATCAAAGCTGAACTTACTTTAACTGGACAATGACTTTCGTCTAGAGCTGCTGTACAGCCTAAACAAACTTTGTTGCATTAATTTCCTGTTATTACTGTAAAGCTGCTTTGGAACAATCTGTATTGTAAAAAGTGCTATATAAATAAAGGTGACTTGACTTGACTTTATTAGACATGTCCTGCTGTGTGATATGCTAAAATCTAAAACTCTTTTTAAAATAAATTTTTGGGTAATTATTTTATAATTATACACATGTCATATTAAGTGAACCGCTACTGCACTACCTTTCTATGAAGAGTTGGGGAGAGCAAAATTAAAATGATTAAAATTAGTCACCTGTAGTGACCCTTTTTGCTGTGATGCTTGCCTAACTGGCCCATGTTGATCTATATTGACTCTTGATTATCTATATTGGCTCATGCTGACCTATAGTGGCTTTTTCATGATGACCTGTTTACTTTCAGTAACTTTTGTTTACCTGTATTTTGTCATGTTTAGGAGCTGGTTGTTGCTCTTAGTCACCTAGTGGTGCAGTATGAGAGTAATTTCTGTACTGTGGCTCTGCAGTTCATGGAGGAAGAGAAAAACTATGCTGTGCCTTCACCTGCAAATTCCACAGGTAATTATTTTTAAACTGTTTTAGAGTTATTGGTTTTCCCAGTGATTTATAGAATGACATTTTCCTAATGGAATACTAACATACTACTTAATGTATACTGCTCAATATACTAAATATATGCCACATTTCAAATTAAGGGATACTACATTGTCACATTATAATGATGTTTAAGCCAAAGAGTAGATGTTAAAATGTGTGGTTGATATTGATACTTGTTCATTCAACACATTGGTATTAGAATTTCAAGTGTGCGTTTTGCCAAATATAATTGGTTGGGCAGATATTCCATACATACAGAAAATTTACATACTGTGCACATAATGTATAATTAGTAGTATGCTGTTCTAACCATAGTCATGGTCCATTGTTTATCTGTTATGTCCGGCTGCCACTGACCTTTGACTTTTTTTTGTTTTTGTAGAGACAGGGAACGTTACCCCGGGCAGGGACAGTCCCGCCATCCCTCGTTTACGATCAGTGAACTCCTACACAAACCTTAGAGCTGCCACCACCTCTCGAACCCTCAATAAGAGCCTTCAGAACCTCAACCTCAACGAGGAGGGTGAGTCAAACTCCACTCTATATCACTAAGCCTGAATACTCCTTATTCTCAGCTAGAAGTCAGCAGGTATAATGTTGAAAAGAAAATATTCTAATAAAAAAACATTGAAAAAATACAATATTGAAAAGTTTTATATTACATTCATAACATTTGGTTCAAAGTGATTGCTAAAAATCATGTTGCATTAAAGTGCCTAATTAAAAGTGTAATAAGCCTGGAAAGAGAGCTTAGTTCGGTAATTGCACACTATTTGATGCTATCTTCTCTGAGACGTGGAACTCGGACAAGAAAAGGATACTTTGAGCTTGGGTGCACACCTAAAAGGTCAAATGCACACATGATTATGTTAAAAATGCCTGTCTTAAGGCCTGTTCACACCAAGAACAAGAACTTTAAAGATAACTGAAATGATTACTATTTTAGCTTCCACACCAACACATGATATCTGCCACTTTAGATACTCGAGCTCTTTAAAGTCTGGTGTTTTCTGATTGGATATCTGTGGCAGGCAGTATGGGGCCCAGAGCCATGGGAACGGAGCGATTGCTAATGAGTGTCACCTGTGTGCCACACTGGTCTCGAGTCTCACGGAGGAGCTTCAGAAGGATAAAAGGAGACAAGAGAGGACCAGGCCTGGACTTTATGCCAGTGTTTGTTTTAATTTAAGTGGCAGTCGTCCATGAGGAGCTGCCGCTTTGCTTTCGTTTTGTTATTTGTTTATTTTGTGTATAAAAGTTAAGTTGAACGTATGCCGGTTCCCGCCTCCTTTGTGCTGCCCAATCTGCTCAGAACCGCAAACTTCTCAGCAGCGAGGGATGTCCGACAGCGTGTCCCTCCTTCCTCCCGGGTTTCAGCACCAATTTAACAAGGTTTAAAGGTGCTAAATTTAACTTTTCTTCTAAAATGAATCCTTTTTTTATTGCCTGTGTGTGAAGGGGTTGTAATCACACATTACAATGATCCACTTGTCGGGTTCTGCTATTACCTCTGAAGGCCAGTATTCCTATTTCTATGTGAGGTCTCCGGGTCGGATTTTCTGCGAAAGCCATCGGATGTGACGTGCATGCGCGCTCCTGAGCCTCTCTCCTTTTTATATACAGTCTATGCGACGGCACTGCAGCTAACGACATGGAGTCTGATAACACCAAAAAACTACCTTCCTCCAGCACAACACAGACTCCAACACAAACTCCACATAAATATAAAAAACAAAACAAAAATGTATCTGCTGAAGCTCGTCAGGCCAAACGTGAATCGGATCGACTTAGGACGAAAACACGGATCAACATCGGCAGAGTGTTTGAATTATGGAGAGACCTCCGCTATTTTTATTGTGATAAATTGCAAGTTTTCAGATATGCTGAAATAAATAATGGGTGACTGTAATGAAATGGCAAGGTAAACTACAACATACATGAGACATGAAATGAATACAAAAGTATAACAGGATAACAAAAAGTAGGTGCTTTAGGATGTAACTTTTATTTTATGTACTAGATCTACTGTCTAACGTCACTCATCCCACTACTATCATTTTGTTTATAATTTTCAGACACGTTCAGTACAGAAATGTTACTTCCTACGATCTTACTGTACACTGAAATTGTTCAGTCTAGTTCACTAACCGTTTTCGTTATCATATTATACATTCACCTATGTTGACATTGCTGATTGTGAAAGATACACGAATAGTTAGTGAAATGTAGCCTGACTTCGTCACACTCATATTCTAGTCAGAATGTGAGTCTGATACTGCTCCATAGGGCTTTGATTATGAGGCGTATCTTAACCGAACCAGGGGAAAAAAAACTCTGCACTCAATTGGATAGACCTACAACCAATCAGAGCAACGCAGTAGCCTAAGTGATTTTTTATGAGCTACGCAAATTGTCAACAGACCTCAACTGCACGCACGCTGGAAGAAGTAGTAAAATAATGAGTGTTGCTTCTTTTACTTGGTCCTCCATGAGTGCGACCAAAAGAGAAACCACAACGACCACAGGGTTTTCATTGCGTCCCATCTTCTTAGCGACCATCGGAGCCAGCTGATAAAATAAACTTTTGCCGAATCACGTTGGAAGGACAGCAAACACATCTTTCCGATCGACAAATGCCTTGATTGCAGTTCTCTGTTCGTCTTTTAAAATGAATGCGCTGTCGATTTCTTTTACAACAGACGCAATAGCGGAATTTATACATCTCAATTCTCCAGCTGCAGTCATCTTTGAGGGAAACCAGTTCAACCCAAGCACTCTTTGATAACGTGATGATTACTTAACTGCAGATCATCTGTCCACATCACCACATGTCGGCTAAATGCAGTCAATGTAACGCTATCATGGTACGAGCATGGATTAGTTCAACGTCAAGCTGATAAAAGTAGTCTATTATAACGATGCAGTGGGAGTTTACATGAGTTTCCAGCATGTTGTGTGATGCTTTCTCCGGTGTGTTGAAAGTCTCAGTGTGGCCGGCCGGTACCATGAGTGCTCGCTCTTGTGTTCGAGCACGCGCAAGAGCACGAGCGCTCTTGTAAAAATTGGTTGCAATCTGAAACATCACCGATAGAGGCCGCTAAAAAATACATATAGCACCTTTAAAGGCTCAAGGAAGGAGGAGGCGGGAACCGGGGAACGTTCAACGTAAGTTTTAATTACAAAATAAACAAATAACAAAACGAAAGAAAATTAAAACAAAACACCCACATAAAGTCCAGGCCTGCTCCTCTCTTGTCTTGCACTGTCATCACTCCTCCTTTTATTCTTCCGGAGCTCGCTCCGTTCCCATGTCTCTTGGACTCGCTCTGCTTGGGACAATATTGCTCCTCTGTCCTGTTATCGTTATAGTTGTGGTGTGGACTCTGATCATCTTTTTTATTTAGAACAATTTGTAGAACTATATCTTTATCGTCATTGGCGTGAATGGGCCTTTAGTGAGTATTAATGTAAATGTAGTCGATTATACCTTTATGATGAAAATTGTCTTAAATCATAATTAATTCAACATTTACTCACCCTCATGCTGGTCTAATTTCTTACTTGAATCCTTATTTCAGTTATCTTTATTCTATTGCCTGAATTTAGTTTGTTTACTTATTTATTCGTACTTTTCTTCAACACAAGGACTTTCTTTAAGACTTTTTACTTACATTAGTTAGCTTAGTAGTGGTATTGAAATTGGTATCAAGAATTCAAAGAAATTTCTCTGATTTTTAAAAATGTGATACTTTAAAAAGCTTATTTTCAGCCAAAAAGAACTACAGTACTGTGCAAAAGTCTTTGGAACACTAGTATTTACACACACACACACACACACAATGGTTTTAAGCCAGTTATGTATATTGTCTGCTGTAGTGTGTCAGTAGGAAATATCAGTTTACATTTCCAAACATTCATTTTGACATTATTTGTAGTAATCCAGTGAGATTTTTAAATTCACAAGGAGTCTGACAACAGCCGGTATGCTCCACACGGAGATCTGATCTCACCATCATCGAGTCCATCTGGGATTACATGAAGAAACAGAAAAAAACGGAGACAGACTAAATCAAGAAGAACTGTGTTAACGTCTCTAAGACGCTTGAAGAAACCTACCTGCAAAGCTACAGTACTGTGAAAAACTTTAGGCACTTGTGTAAAAATGCTGTAAAGTGAGCATGTTTTCAAAAATAATGTCATAAATAGATTTTATTTATCTGTTAACTTCTATTAACTAAATCAAATCAATATTTGGTGTGACCACCCTTTGTATTTAAAACAGCTGTTGTCCAGGTACACTTGCACAGTTTTTCAGGTAGCTTTGGAGGTACTGTAGGTTTCTTGAAGCGTCTTGGAGATGTTGCCGCAGTTCTTCTTGATTTAGTTTGTCTCAGTTTTTTCTGTTTATTCATGTAATCCCAGGGGGAGGGTGAGAGGGGGGAATACTAACATGCCTAAAGGCCCTTGCACACTGAGTCCGAAATTCGTGTCCGAAATTTTTGCACGTTACAAAATAAATACGACCTCACGTTATGTCAATCACGCTTACACACTGCCTCTGAAACTTTCGTCCGTCATAAAAAAAATCGTATCAGGTTCAATTTTCTGCATTTTTCGCATCTGTAGCAAGCAGTTTGAATGGTGTTTTGACAATTCAGAGCCACGAATCACGAATACGAAAAAACACATACGAAAATTTCGGACTCAGTGTGCAAGGGCCTTAAGATTTTTGCACAGTACTGAATATTGTGATATATATTGTTATTTTAAAATAAAAATACTCCTATTTTGATATAATATTATGGTCATATCGCTCATCTATATTCCCAACCATGCTTGTGTTTATACGTGTGTTCTAGGTGGTCCAGCAGCGTTCTCTCCAGGGAACCTGAGCACCAGTAGCAGTGCCAGCAGTACTCTGGGCAGCCCTGATAATGATGAATACCTACTCTCCTTTGAAACCATCGACAAGATGAGGAGAGTCAGCTCATACTCTTCCTTAAATTCTCTTATTGGTGAGATTCCCTGTTTCAGCAACAGCCATAGACTAGACCTTCATCGGATTCCTTTGAAAATGAATGTTGAGATGTGTACGAAATTAGTTCTACACACAAAATATTTATTTAAAATCTGACAAATGTCTTGAAGTAAAACATTGCACAATGCTTTAATGTCGGAATAATTCAATGGCTCGTGGTCAGTTATTGACCATCAGGGTGATACAAGACCTGATCCTGATCTCCCTTTCAGGATTTCTTTGTGATAAACCAGCTGGATGTACATTATCCCGCTTATTACGCAGCTACTTGCAACATAAGTAAATAACTGAAACAAAATATTAATTTGAGCTGAGATATTTTATTAGTATGCGAAACTTCCTTGAAGAAAAACAGTTCCTAGCAAGCATTTTGAGCAAAGATGAACGAACAAGTTCAAACGAGATTTGAGGGATTATGTTGTAGGAGAATTACCACATGAAGAGACCTGTATGCTCAATGAAGACCAGGAGAGAAGCTAGCTTATAATATTGAAACACTAATATTTACAGTCAAATGGATAATCCTGCAAGCACAATTAGATAAAACTTAGGCAATGTCGTTTCCCTTCAAGGCTGAGTTTTGTCAGGACTTCACTGGAACAGAACAGGAAAGCTACATCCACACAGGGCATAGAGCACTGACACCAACTTCTATACATGATTCCTAATTAGAAAGCAAAAATCTCAACGCAAAAGAAAAGGAACTAAGGAAAAGAAAGAAAAGTAAAATAAGTGAGACGAGAGTAGTTAGGTGGTTTGCATGACGATGTTTGGTCTTATGGTCTTAAGACCTCCGTCTTAACCCATTTTATCAGCCTTAAGCCGTAGTCTTAACCTAATGCTTTGTTCGTATCCTGAGTTTTTAAACTCAGATGTTTGTCCAACCCTTAGAGGAGTTCTTACCAATTATACATTGTCTTTAGTTTGGGACATAACTGTTTCCCCTCCTCTCACATAAATTACCTATTATCTTATTAGTCACATGGTCTCTTAATTTTCCTGCACTAGCAGGGTATGATTTAGACCTGAATTTTATAATGAGAGTACAATACGTTTTACATGAATTTGATTCATACCATAATAGAAAAATCATTCATGCTGATACCAAGCACTCCATAATTCCTATGAACTATTAAATAGTTATGAAAAAGGGCATAAATAATGAGTGATTACAACATGATAGTCAAATGTGTGGGTTACAGACATTATGTAGAATTACTGTATGCAATGCAATGACGTTTGATTATAAATCCGACTAGCATTGTTTTGGATTGATCTGATTCATTTTGATATGTAAAGGCAGTCTCTGATTTTAGAGAGGATTTCAGTCCTGCTGTTTAAGGGAGAGGTCAAACAGAGTTCTGACCAATAAGAATCAAGAATTTAAGAGAGCGATTTAATAATTGTGATTTTAAATATTCAACCACTTGATAACCCTAATAAATATATAAATATACCACAAACAGAACCTCCAAACAGAACTAACAAAGTAAATGTCAAATAAACAACATCATACTAGACTCAATTTAAAACCTGCTGGTTATTGTCAATATTCCAAGATATAAATTGTCCGTCCATATGAACATATCACACAATTTTTCAGTCATAATCAAATTATTGACAGAGCAAATGTTTAGACCCATTTTATTTGTCTGTAAGATAAGCTGGTTAGCCAATATGACACACCAGTTTTTATAAAACTTCTAATCTATGATTTATTAATCTCACTATAATCTTGACCTGATGGTTAATGGAAGATATGACAAAAACAGACTAACTGCAGTGAGAGGTTGCAAATGAATTGATGACTGAAATTAAATAATTTTTATGTAACTCTTACAGTTCTCACATGTACTGAACTAAACTGAATTGAGTCCTGTTCCACACAAGCTTGGTATTTTCCCCTTCTCTGAGAATTTAGAAGGAAGTCAATCTTTGTTAATTTATGGCCTCTGTGGATAAATGGTTAAATCTAAAAGAGAACAGAAAACTAAAAATCCCTCCGCAGCAGAATTTTGCTCATTTATTTTTGTTTATTTCAAACAAAAATTTACAGTTTATTTCAACATATACAGTAGATCCTCTAAATTGAAGTAATTTAGTCGCATCACTCGTAAAAGCTCTGTTCTCTCTCTCACTCTTTATTATATGACATTTATTTTTTGCTCTGGTCAGCCCCTTCAGATATTTCAAATTGCTACTTTTGTCATTGTGAGGCTGATTTAGGCTTTGTTCCAACATTCAAGCTGTTATTATATCTGATTCCATTATATTTCAATCCATTTCATTTGTTTGTCTCATTCAATCGTTACCTTTTTTATCTCACTATTGGTTTTTTTGTATTCAGCCACACATGCATCCTTTTTCATTTTCTTCACCCTTTCACTCCTCTGAGTTGCATCAGTGCAGTCCACACCAGCACCTTACAAAACCTCTTCATTTTATCTTTATCCTCTGACCTCCTGTCAACCCATCCTTTCCTTATATTCTCCTTTTCCTCTACTTAGTTTTTTTTTATATAATCTGTGATTACTGCATTTCAAGTATACAGTCCTTAATCAACCTCCAGGAGCGACTGTGCTTTGCATACATAAATCAGTAGCCAGGCAATGCAGAAACGAGTGTTAGCACAGCAGAGTCCAGGGTTCGAAGCACCTTCCAGTTACCATGGATACTTGGATTCAGGGTGTTTTTTATAGCAGGTGTTGTGCTTGAAGTGAAGTTCCAGAATATATCATAACAATGTATAAAAGGTAAAATAATTTAACTAGGAGTGTCATTCAGTAGATAGAAATCACAGTAGATAGAAAAAAATCTTTTCTGGACAAGATATGGAAATATCTATAGGTACTGTAATATAAATATTCTGCTCTAAAATGTTTCTTTGAATAGATGTTAATAGATATTCATCGGTTAGATATTGTTTTCTTAATGGAGACATTTAGCACCATGAACATTTTAAATGTATTCTCCTCTAGGATTAATTTCTGGCATCAAATTTCTACAAAATAATTTTTATAAAGAATAATAGCAATCATGAACGAATGGACAAGTCATGAAAAAGGATTTTTTTGCCAAAACCTGATGCAAATCTGATGCAACAATGCATTGACAATTGCAAGTCCACAATATTTATTATATATTTATAACATATTTTATTAGTCATCCTAAAAAAAAAATTTTTTCTGAGTAAATATTAATTTAATTGCAACTACTTTGATTAATTAATCAGTATATCATGTAGTTCGTTAGTGTAACATTGGCAGTCTGTTTTGATTTCTGTTCTTGTCGGTGTCTGGTTATCTGTTTGTTAGTTCAGTTTAGTCTACCTCCGCCCCTGCTGTTTGTTTCTATGGTTACATATTGATTAGTTAGTTCTGGTCAGGTGTGTCTCGTCTTATATTGTTAGCTCTCCGGTTTGTTTGTGTATTTAAGCCCTGTCTCTAGTTCAGTCGTTGTGAGTTCTTAACGTAGTATTATGTTGATTGTTCCGTTCCCGAGTCTTGTTCTTGAGTCTAAGTCTGTATTTTTTGAAGTTTTGGGTTTATTTAATATAAGACTGCTGCACATGGATCCTGCTTCCTCCTCTGCTTCAACCAACATGACAATTAGATTATGAAGTGATTATAAATGTTTACGGATCATTGGTCTGATATTTTAAGTTATAGATAGCTTATGGTCAGTATAACATGCTTGTTTTTTGTTTTGTTTTTGCTCATATACACATTTCTCCAGTGCTGATGCATGGAAAGTGAGCTACAGTACTAGTATGTTTAGCACTGGAATAATATCATAATATACTATGATATGCATAATCTGCTATGGTTAGGAACATGTTTTATCAGTGTTATAAACCTCTAACTTCATTATTGGGTCCATTTCTTAGTGTGTTTTGAAACTGTGTCAGTTTGTGACAGCACACCACTGCAGTCTCGCTGAATATTTCATGCCCCTCTGTAGAAAATGATGGCTCTGTTTACATCAGCAAATAAAAATAATGGAGTGTGCCAGAGCCCCGCCCCATCCCGTATTATACTCTCACTTTCTCCTGGTGACTATTTGATGGTTGTTGAATTCTCTTAGCTGCAATTTTTTTTAATTAATTTTGTTTTGATTTGTTGAAAATTACTACTAATTTCAGTAAAAATTGCTTAAGATCCGCATTTAGAGTGATGGTCAGAAGACAGTTTATTAGCTTTAAGATCATTGAACATCTGTTTTCCGTACCAGCTGTTATTGTGTTGGATAGAGAAAAGTGCAAGAAGAGAGAGTGAGGTGGAGGAGGTGTCCCTATAGACTGTGTTGAAGCGCTTTGGATTGTGCATGCGTTAGTATGGCAGACACACTGTGCATGCCAATGATGAGGGGCTCCACACTTACACAACACCACAGGGAAAGCAGAAAGTCTTTCTGCATCACAAATACGCTCATCTGCCTGATGGTCTCTTGACGTTCACACACACTTCTTCATGTGCTCCAGCACAGGTATACTCATCCGGCCGATAGGATAGTTTGCATACATGCACACATTACAGATGTGCCCTGTCTCATAATGAGGTGAGGATGGCACCTCTTATGTAATTTAAGGAATGTGTGTTTTGATCACCTGAGTGGTGCAGAGCAGGATGAACTAGTGACTGACACTAATGACATGCTGCAGGCGATGATAGAATGAAAATGCATGAGAATTGAGAGAAAAGGAAAAAAACACACAAAGTCTTATAATGTCATCTGCGGTTGCTGGTTCACTCTAGGGACAGGAGAGAAAATGTCAGATTGAAATCAACGTTTTCCCACAGCTGTTTCCTGCTTCTGAAATTACATAATTTCCAGACCAGGCGATAACATCAAGATAGTGGCAATGACAGCTTCTAATGAAAGATGGATGAGATCTGCTGATTACTTTTGTGTAAATCAATAATTCTCTTTTTATTGGTACAGGGAGGTGAAGTAATTAATGACCTTAACCTGTTAAGCTTCAAGCCCATTTTTGAAAAATCCCCAGATATGGCATTCCCAAACTGAAACAGATACAGTTCATGAACCCTTTGTACTAAAAGCACAAGTAAGATCTCATTTGAAAGCTGACACCTGGAAGTTTATTGTAAATGTAGAATTAATTATTATCATAATGAAAAAAAATAGTTATAAATAGCTTCAAAGTTTTGTAAAGTTATTATACATTTATTTTTATGAAACATCTTCATGAAAATAAAATTGAAGTTGGCATTGTAGCAATCTAGAAATGCACTGCAGCTAAAGCCACATGTCTAACCATGTTATATTTAAAATCTGAAGATGATAAGTCTAAAACTCTGTATTTAGTTCAATGTTTTTCAAGATCATGTCATATGACTTTATTTTGATTAGACTGGTGTTTATTGTTTTCTTATAAGCATCTATTCAGTCTATTGCCTCTATTGTTTTGTGATGCAAAAACGAGCCCCATTCAGTCTCAGTCTCCCCTGCACATATTCACACCTCTCCAGCCAGTTTATTGCTCTAAATATGCTTTTCTTTTGTCTGCATTATAATCACTAACGACTAGCAATTCACACTGTTTCAATCCCTCATTTATTTTATAAAAGTTCTCACTTCACAGTGAAACTGTATCAAATGCCCTTTTTGAAAAACGAAACATTTCAGTAAGCATTCTTATTTAGAAAAAAATCATAAAAATTACACCGAAGTAAGGTAGCAGGTGCTCAGTACTAGCTAGCATGTTAGCTTAGCACACCATCAATACACGACAATTTATGAGAATAAAACTATGTTTGTTCTCCAAACTTACTTTATAGCGCAAGTCGAGTGTTTTAAATAACTTTCTGTAATCTGATTTGGCTTCAGATAAAAAAATCAGATAGAAAATATATTATTTTATTGTATTCTGCACAATTTGAAAGTCTATCTCGATTAGCATTACATTATACATATAATCAATTATTATGAAAATACCTGACATGACTCGAAGAACACAGGTAAATCAAATATCATTGCAATCATGTTTATTGTCTTCAAAACATCTTTATATGCACTTTACAGCGATCTCGGATAGCTTTGTTGTGGCAGGACTTCCTGAATGTCACATGATTATGGCTCTTCTTCATGTGATCAATATATGGACTTCTGTGCAAACAGCGCCCTCACTTTCAGGATGAATTGATAACACAGTACAGAGTATACAGCGCTCAAAATGATTACATCGACGCATTTGGGTATAAATTCAATAAATATTATTCCTGTCTATAGAAGTCTGATGTAAAGCTATGAGAATCTATCAATATTTCTCCAAATCTGCACATGTTTGAGCTAAAAGCCCTGAGGGACGTTGTTTTGTCAAGCGCTGTCATGACGATTGCACGGGAGTTTTTTTCTGAATGAGAGCAGCTGACGCTCATAATTCATATTAAAGGTAACGACTCATTTTTTAATTTCATAACTCCTGACACAAATTAAGACATAACTGTCACTATAAGTTTCTCAGAATACAATAGTGGTCAAATACTGAATCTTGAGTCTTATATCTTTTTAATGATGTATAGTTTGTCAAGGTATAACATTAAATCTGATAGTATATTTGAACTAAATAAAAAAAAAAACGCTTCAGTGCGCCGACGCTCTGGAGACGGTTAAGAGGTTAATGACTGTACAGGATATTCAGTTTTATCTGTTTCTTTTTCTTGAATGTATTAACAAAACCATAAACAACTTTAACTGTCCTGTATAAACTGGTGTGAGTGAATAATAGAGAATGTCTTCAGTGTTTGTTTATCCTCTGCAAAATTTGGATTGGAATTGCTGTAATAGTGCCATAATATTGCTGATTTATGATTCCATGTAAGTCATAATACCCTGGCATTCTTGTATCATAGTATATTGATATGTTAATCGTTCAGTACCATGAATTCAAAATACCACTGTATTTTCATCCAATAGCATCACTGTACCATGCTGCAGCAGCAGTACTTTTTTGTAAGGAATATCCCAGGGAATATCTGAGCTTCAGTTTAACTCTACTGAGTTGTTTCTACACAAATTCTCATTAAATGAACCAATTAAATAATTTCCTTAATTTAAAATGAAACTAACAAAATGTTTTCTCTTTTCAGGAGTGTCTTTTAACAGTGTATATACTCAGATTTGGAGGGTGTTACTGCATCTAGCAGCTGATCCATTTCCAGACGTCTCTGATCTAGCCATGAAGGTTCTCAACAGCATCGCATACAAGGTACAGACAGTCCTGGGATCCTCATTACACCTGCCCCATTTTACTGTGCTTACCAGGGCTTGAGATGAACACATGCCAAATGTGGGTGGATTTCAGCAGTGCCATGTAACGCTTTCACTCCTACTAGCCACTTTGGCTGGGTTGAATTTTATAGGCTATGTAATATATACATTTTCAATTGTAGTCTTATCTAAAATAACTAACTAAGTGCAATGTAGTGTTGTCAAAAATATATTTTTTTCAATATATATCGATACTGAAATATCTGAAACTCTTCCAATACTAATTTTCCTAAGAAAAGACACAATACCAACTGTGCTTTCTCACTCTTTCTACTCTCTGACAGTGAGTTGACACACAAACCGCCTCCCCTCACTCGTTTAATTTGCTCAGGATGAATATTGTTGGTGTTACAGGGCTTGAATTTCGCCTCGACATTGCGTTCTAATCCTCCCCTTCCTCGAATACTGAATCCTGATTGCATTGTGCCAGTAAAAATTACTGGCCAATGGCGATTGAGCGTGCGAGCTAGGAGCGGAGCCATCCGCTATATAGCTCAGCGCTCATTGCCATTGCCTCTGAATATTTTTCATTCATGAAGCAAGTCTTGCAACCATTGTATACTTTTCGCCTTTGACTACGTTTTTAAGAGGATGCCGCTTTCCCTTGCTGCTCTCCTTCCACCATCTGGCAGAAACACAATGTCCATCAAGGAGGGTTGAACGCTTGAGGATTCTTACGGAGCCTGTTAAGAACCTGGACCTTGACTAGGCACCTCTGGAACAGCCAGCGAGGAACATGATGATGGATCATGATGTGGTGTCTGCAGCAGGACCACTGCCCCTCATAGACTCACTCCATTTTTCCCAGAATTACACGATGAGATCTCACATCAGGCTGCGTGATCGCATCTCCTTACTTCTGTCGACGGGGCCAACTGCTTGGGTTACACAAAACCGCTGTCCGTCAAGGAAGCTGTTGCAGCCCACCTGTGACCGACTCCTCGTGGGTGTGAGTCGTCACTATCATTGCCCTCGAAGCCATACCACGCTACACATTGGTAAGAAGGCGTACATGGCAGCTGGGCAGGAAGCATCCTCCATTTACACTATGGTTGTGCTTCAGGTCTTTCAGGCGAAGATGCTGCAGGCCTTGGATGACCGATGTCCGGATCCCGAGTTGTTCAGGAAACTGCGCTCGGCCACAGACCTGACCCTCATAAGGCTGACCAAACCAGAGATGAGGGCCTCTGAGAAAAAGGGCTGCAGCTCCTCCAGCACGTTCAACATCCCTTGCTGGTTGAAGGCGACAGTGGCCTGTGAGGCATAATCCCTGTGCGTTTTCTCGTTCCCAGCACGAGTGTTTCCCAGGTGCACTGTGGCGGTCTAGCTCGTGCAGGGACTGTCAATGTCTCCCCTTAAAAGAGAGCTACGCCCTGTTTCCAGGCAGCGAGCCGCTTGAGATACTTCACGAGGTGCGTGCACTTCCAGTGGTGTCAGAATGGGTAGGGGACACAATCACAAACGGTTATACACTTCAGTTTGCATGCAGACCACCCCACCAGCGGATTTCTTACAGCAGTGTGTCTAGTTCAGGGGTAGGCAAGTTCGGTCCTAGAGAGACGCTGTCCTGCAGAGTTTGGCTCCAACACTGAAAAAAACCTCTCCTGCCTATAGCTTTAGTAATCCTGAAGACATTGATTAGCTTGTTCAGGTGTGTTTGATTAGGGTTGGAACTAAATTCTGCAGGACAGCGGCTCTCTAGGACCGAACTTGCCTACCCCTGGTCTAGTTGGTCGCAAGACTGTTTTGAGTGGGTTACAGTTTAAGTAAAGAGTGCCTGAGAAAAATGTGTTGCCTGATTCAATTTCTGCAGTCAGATGAGATGTTGTCAGGATATATGTCGGTGTCATTATTATAACGTTATTTTTTTAACTTATTATGAAATAAAAAGTCTCTCACCTCAGAAAAACAAACTTTCATGTCCTTTCAGTCGTTGTACTGATGCCCGTGACACTCTTCAATTACGCGCACAAATGTGGGAGAGCGCACTTTATATCACTTCATTATAAATAAAGCGCAAAAGAAATTACGAGCATGCAACGTCGTAGTTATGTTATCAAGTAGCAAGTAATGAAATGACCAAAAAGTACCAATAAATTACCAATAAGTAACTGGTTCGTCGTGTGTTAGCTGGAAAGGATTTCAGGTATATTGTTCATTCTATTCATCAGGATTAGTTTCCATATGTTGGAAATGGGAATTTTCAATGCTTTAGCTATTTTCTTATAGCCACTTTCTATTTTGTGAAGCTCAACAATCTTTTGCTGCACATCAGAACTATATTCTTTGGTTTTACTCATTGTGATGAATGATCAAGGGAATTTGGCCTTTGTGTATCCTCATATTTATACTCCTGTGAAACAAGAAGGTCATAGCTACAATTTCATATTCCTAGTCACCCTCGTGTGCTAAAAAATGTAAATATTAATGAGAATATACTGCTGACACGACGATGTATGAGCATTTTGCGACGGCAGGCCGGCTTGCGGCACTTGGACAAGTGGAAAGTCAAAGGGGCACATAAACTGCCTAGAGCTGACGGCAGTATCTTTAGCTTTGCAGCACTTCCTTCTGTTCGTGAAGCTCTTGTTTTAACAGACAACAGTGTTTTTTTTCTTTGTATATATATATCAATCACCAAATGGGTATTCGATCCCACCCGCTTCAAAGGCAGGCGGAACGTTTCCTCTTGTGGGCGGACAGGAACCTCCTATCGATACAAGCAGTCCATGTCCCCGGCCGTCTGAATTTTGGCCCAGATGTGCTGTCCAGGGATGGCACAGTTCACGGAGAATGGAGGCTGCATCCTCAGACGGTCCAGATAATTTAGAGCCTGTTTGGGGAAACAGAGGACGAATTGTTCGCCTTGGAGTAGAATTCGCATTACCCGTTGTTCTTTTCACTGATGAGTGCTCCTCTAGAAGGGGATGCGTTATCAAGCCGCTGACACAAAACAGTCAAAATCCACTGGTGCTGCACAAGATCAGGGAGGAATAGGAGACTGCTACTGGCCACGCCGAACTGGCCAAACCAGCCATGGTTTCCAGAGCAAGTGGAACTTCTTGTGGCTCCCCTGTTGCCAGTTCCGTTACAGAGGGACCTGCTGTCTCAAGCATTGGGTACTGACACCCCAGGCCAGAGCAATGGAACCTGCATGGCTGGCAGGTCAGTGAGACGGGCGGACGTTGAATGTAGACGTTGACCGATTCATCGGTTTTGCCGATATATCGGTACCGATAGTTGATTGGTGGAAGTTGAACTATTGTTATCGGCAAAAATCCACACCGATAGTTTTTTCCGGGTTGTGTCTGTTGCTGGAGCGGCTGAGAAGTGTGCTCGGTCATTACACAGCACGAGAGTGCTGAGAAGAGACTGCTGGCATTATACAGAGCGAGAGCGGCCTCTAGAGGACAAATAACAAACTATCACTGGCTGAGTTGTTTACGTTTACACGTGAGGCAGCACAGAGAGCGCTGACACTTCAGATGCGCGTTTAAAACACAGACAACGAAACGGTATGAATACAGAACACTAAAGTACATATTGCCATATCATTATAAAGTAATTAATTTATTGACTAGATGCTACATTAGCAGAGAAATAACAGCAGTATGTGTGCTGTCGAGTCTGAGAGGAATAACATTAGTAACGGCTACCTCAAGAGATTAAAGCAATGTGACAAAAACACATGCAGACATGACCCAAATGTTTTATGTCGCATTTGTTACCATCTATTTCCATTAATTTATATCCGGCCAGTCACTTTTATGCATTCATTAGCCGGCGAAGTTGCATATTTAAAGCTAGTGACGTGATTGCTTTCTCAACATTGATATGTTCATGCAGCCGACAGAAACAAACAAATCAGAAACTTTTTCAGAATTTTTTTATCACTTCAATATATATTGTTATTTTGATTAGATAATCATCAAGTGTTCTAAAAGAGAAGCAAATAAAGTGAGAGACTATACATGTAATATAGGTCTACATTTATGTAATTTTAATGCTATGGCCTTTGCAGTTATTTAAATATGGCCATCTTTTAACATGACTGACTCTTTGGATTTACATGAAATGATAACACTTTACAATAAGATTCCATTTTTAGCATTAACTAAGGTTAATGTGTTGTAGAAGTATTATTCACTGTTTCTTAATTTCAACATTTAGTAATACATTTTAAATTGAGTTTTAATGTTAATTTGGTTTGTTATTACCTTAGTTAATGTACTATAAACTAACATGAACGATCAAGATACAATTGTATTGCTCAAATAATAATGCATGCAGTAAAACTGTATATTGTATATTGCATAATGCATAGTTCATGAAAGCTATATTACATCCTTGTTAACAAATGGGACTTGCAAAGTGTTACCTATGAAATTTACAAATGTTTATAGGTTATAGCTAAAAAAAAAAAAATTGACCTGTAATATTTTAATGTTTAAATTATTTTCTGTAGAGTTCGTTCTGTAGAAGTTCTCATTTTAATATATTCATTTTTAATATATTTATTTAATTTAGCACATTTCAGTTCAGCACTGTTTTACTTGGAGTGTTATGTTTGTTTTTAATCCAGTATCCATTTGAAAAAATATCGGTTGAATAATTGGTTATCATCATGCATGGTCAAACCTAAATATCGGTATCGGTAAAATCCACTATCGGTCGACCTCTAGTTGAATGTGCCACAAAGGCTCTTGGATTCGATTGCTGAAGCAAGAGCTCCGTCGACTAGATGCCTTTACACTCTGAAATGGAAAGTCTTTTTGCCCTGGGGAGTGAAGTGAGAAAATGAGGACCCATACAGGACTGTTTGGATAACGGGCACACACCATCCACTCTAAAGGTGTATGTGGCTGCCATTTCAGTTTTTCATTCGGCAATTGATTATTGCTCAGTAGGGAAGCACAATTTAGTAGCAGGGTTCCTGAG